TGCATGCATGTATTCATGCATGTATGTCAACGTATGTGCTACTGGCAACTGCTCAAAACGAACACAGTCTCCCTCGAACTCAACACAAAAACCTAGAGCTGGCGAACTGTCCCCCGAGCCAGGAGTTAAGCAAATCACTTCCCCGGGCCTCTGGCAGCCAAGTATGAGTGAGACCCTCCACGCTCACGAGCATCCCCCCCCTCAGCCCTCAGTTCCGTGTTCATTCCGGTTTTATGCTGTTGCCCCGCGCTTTAGCGAACCCTTGCAAGAGCTAGTGGAGGGCCGGGAACCTTACGGCCGGAGTCTGGAGTCTGTGGTCCCGTGTTCGCCCCCACGCCGAGAAGCACCTAGCTACGCCATGTTGGGTCCCATGTTGCAGGGGCTTATACCCATTCAGCCACAGGAGAAAGTCTGCGCTCACTCTGCTCGTGCACGAACGGCTAGCATCCTTAGAATTCCTTAGGATATTGAATCCTGAAAAGAACTGTCGGTCTTCTGGCATGCTACTGACTGAAACGTTATCACTTCTCGTGTCTCGGGTGTTTGCCTCGTCCTGGTCGATATTCATGCCACAGGGTGCAATGCATCACCCACCACCACGCCCTTTAAGTGTTTGGAGTAACCTTGGATATGCAATTGGGTTCTGTCGGTAAATCTGACAGAACGATCCAATTTGGGCGGCACCTTCGCCTCCGGTGGATGGAGCGTCCGGCAGGGCTCAGTGGCGCCTGAGTCCTCCATAGGAATGCAAAATGGCAAGTGAACAACTGAACAACATGCTGGGAAGATAGTGCGCGTCGACGTACTCAGGAATGCCCTAGTCCCCAAATACTGCTAGAAAGTGCGGAGATCCGGCATCAGGTTTGCAGGGGCGAAGGGGTGCCTGCAGGAGGACTCCAGGAGGACTCCTTGAGGACCCGAATTTAAAGGAGAGAACACAAACGCACTCCGTCGCACTTGTCTCCTCTGTCGTCAAGATGGGCTCCGGTTTCTTTTCTTCCTTGACACACTCCGACTGCAGGCTGCTGACTTGCTAGGTTGTGAACGTGACACCGAGGCGATGTCCTCGTGGTTTGAGAAGTGTGCGGAATGTTTTCGACACTGATTCGGACTGCTCCTCCGTGCCAATAATGAAAGCGGCTGCCGGCTGCCTGCTGCCTATCCGAAGGAGGTTCCACTGGATTATGTCCAAAGCTCCGGTTTGGGCCCAACCTGGGCAGCGTTGGAAACTCCAGAATCCAGAAGCAAACTTTCAAAAGCCTGGCAGTTTCCCAGAAAATTAAAAAGGCAGTAAAATCTCTAGATGTTGGAAAAAAACCCGTTTACCGAGCAAAAGCCTGACACGGTGTCCGAGACATCGAAACGCATCAACGAAAAGTGCCCCCTCTCGCACTTAACCCGAATCCTCCCTCGCCCTATCTTGTCAGCTGCTGCAACAGATCCAGCCGAGTGAGCTCGCACTAGGGGCAAAAACTGCTATGTCTAGGGTTGAGTTGACATGCTGTTCTATTCCCATACAATAGCTATTTGTACTGGGGACCGAATGATGTGCGGCCATGCTCACCGCCGGTGTGTCAGGCGAGGTGGACTCCGACATCTCTGCCGCAAGCTCCTCACGTGTCACAGTACACACGAAGAAAGTCAGAGATTCCTTTGTAATCATGTGTGCTCGCAGTAGTATTCCGTGCTAGTGCATGTACGCGTATGCACCTAAATGCATGCAGACCACCAAGGTCGTTTACTGTCAAGCATAAGATAGCAAACATACGCATCATATCATTGCACAGCATAAAGAACCTGTGTCTTGCCAGTAGTAGTAGTAATAGTAGTAGTAGTAGTAGTAGTAGTAGTAGTAGTACTAGTAGTAGTAGTAGTAGTAGTAGTAGTAGTAGTTAGTAGTAGTTAGTAGTAGTTAGTAATCAGTAGTCAGTAGTCAGTAGTTAGTAGTTAGTAGTTAGTAGTAGTAGTAGTAGTAGTAGTAGTAGTTGTTGTTGTTGTTGTTGTTGTTGTTGTTGTTGTTGTAGTCGTCGTCCTCGTCGTCGCCGTCTTCGTAATAGTCG